AATCTGATGGTAAATGGTTACCTTAGCCTATGGACGCCTGAATCACCAGGGGTATCACGTGCGCGTTGCCGACCCTTAAGAAACCTTAATATACCCTTCTTGAAAAACCCCATGCTGTAGTCTCATGAGAAAACCTCGGCAGGAAGTTCATTTCACAATCTAAGTGTACGCGGGAGGAAGCTCCTCTGAAATCGCTCTGTCCGAGACTACTTAGGTTCCAGCGTGTGGGGATGAATTCCCTGTCGATAACAAAATTTTTTTGGTTTTCTATTTATTTCTTTCTCACGAGATTACAGCATGGGTTTTTCATGAGGGTATATTAAGGTTTCTTAAGAGTCGGCAACGCGCACGTAACACCCCAGCCCCTCCGATCGATCCCCAGTCCTCAAACGGGGATCGATATTCTTATTTATACGGAGAATTCATTCCCACACGTTGGAACTTTTCTTAATTTATATTTATTCAACAGCCTAAAAAATAAGATTCACACTTCTAGCTTTAAAAATGACGACACTTCCATTCAACCTTATGTTATGTTTGTTATTAATTTTTTTCTGATGTTTTTTATTATTGTTTTTTGTTAATGTGTATGTTTTCATTGTGGTCTGTTGATTGTTTTGAGTGGTACCACAATACGGCTTCTGTAATTATATTCGTTTATCTACCGAATAGAGGACGTAATGGCGGCAAGGAAATTAGTTTTATATATTCCTAGCTGTCCCGGCAAACGTTGTTTTGCCATATAAATTAATAACGCTATAAAAAAATAGGGGTTGGTGATAGAAGGGTGAAAATTTAGGTTTGTATGTATTTTTTAATGATGCATAATAAAAAAAATTGCCCGAAAAGTAATATTAGGGGTGGACAACCCTTATCATTAGGGGTATGAAAAATAGATAGTAGCCGATTCTCAGACCTACTGAATATACATATAAAACTTCATAAAAATCGGTTAAGCCGTTTCAGAGGAGTATGGTAACTAACATTGTGACACGAGAATTTTACATATAAGAATAATACATTATATACTAGCTACTCGCCCCGGCTTTGCCCGGGTGTACACGTATCTAAATATATATATTTAGATACTCACTTGCAATCGGAACTCATCTTATAACTGAATAATACATTATATATCAGTCCACTGCTACTCGCCCCGGCTTTTCCAGTTTTTACCAGCAACCCTACGTATGTGTACACGTATCTAAATATATATAACTCAAAGGTGACTGACGTAGTGATCTATCAACGCACAGCCCAAACCACTGAACGGATCGGGCTGAAATTTGGCATACAGGTAGGTGTTATGACGTAGGTATGTAGGCTAAGAAAGGATTTTGATTAATTCTACCCCCAAAGGGATAAAATAGGGGATGAAAGTTTATATGAAACCTTGTTAATTTTAAACCGATCGGGCTGGGACTTTCAATACATAAAGCTACTATGACGTAGGCATCCCATAAGAAAGGATTTTGATAAATTCCACCCCTAAGGGGATAAATTAACACGAGCGAAGCCGCGAGCAAAAGCTAGTTATACATATAAACCTTGCTTCATGACTATTGCTATTGACTGATGATGAAATATTCATGATGACTTCAATGACTATAAAAAAATATGCATTTAAGTAATGTATAATTAGAAATTTAGATTTTTATTTAATTACAATACCTAATTTCTAGTTATCTAGCACGAGAGGTAATGATTTTTAACTGTATACCCTCAAAAAATTTTGCTTTGTTTTATATAGTTTATAAATAGCAAAATTAACAAAAGTGAATAAAATTAGATTAGATTGGATTAGAATTCGGCCACGTATATAATATTCGCTAAAAAAAATTAATTAATTAGTAAATTTTTTTTTTTTTAGGTATTTATTTTTATTAATTTAGGAATAAATAAACTGTTTGTTCAATACAAAACTAACTAAATATATCACCCACGCATCCAATTACAAATAGGATATGGACTGAAGATGTTATCTATATAATGACAAATTGGATTTTAATACCGTTGTCCGATTTGTGACAATTTAAGTTATTTAGTCAGCACTAGAGATGTGTCAACTCGGGTTACTAACTCGAGTTGAATTCTGCCAATTCGAGTTGGAAGAATTCAACTGGTAAACGAACGAATCAAGTGAAAGAGCGAGAACATGATTCTGTCATCGAACCGACAATGACATGAAATTTTCCGATCATTTCATATCATACAATTTTCACTCGTCACAAATGTTTCAGTATTGATTTGAGGTTGTTATCATTTTTTTTTCTCGCATATTCGTCCGGTTATGTTACCATTAAAATGATTATACGTTGCGTAAGTCCTTCCGCGGCTTTCAAATGCTATTTCTGCTCGCCCCCTAAAGTTTTTTTTTTTTGGGGATGATAATGGAATGGTGCACCCGCCTGCGCTAACGGTTTACGCTGGCGGGGCACCAGTGGAGGATGATAAGATGAGCATGAGGTCAGGTCAGTTAGCCCATCGTGATAAATTCACCGGGAATTTAACACGATGGTTACCAGGGGAACCGCGTGGAGGTCGACCTGACATGGTACATTGCTAGTAATGGGGTTATCAATCCACATTACTAACAATCCCCTCCCCCCCCCGCCCCCTAAAGTTCGATGAAGCTTTCAAAGCTAGCTGCGCCCAAAACATTAGAATAGTTCGAAATCGTTTAGAAATGTATCCGGTTTAGTAGCTAAAGATATTTTAAGCTCCTGGATTGAGATGTCTGGGATAGAAATTATTTTAATATTTGTGATCCACTTTTGCGCAAATTCCATTCCAGTAGCCGTAGGATGGAATTTTCCAGCTAATGTGTCATTTCTACTCGTCCCCTATAGTTCGGTGAAGCTTTCAAAGCTAACTGCGCCCAAAAAAAATTAGAATTAATCAAAAATTCAACGAAAAAAAAAAACACAAAAAAACTGTTTATTCCAGGTAACTCGAGTCAACACGAGTTAACTCGAGATACCGAATTTCAACTCGAGTTAACTCGAGTCATGTTTATAACGAGTTAGCACATCTCTACTCAGTACCTTGAATTGAATCGACTACCTACTGACATTTTAGTGCGCTATAAAAAGCGCCCGGCCTTCGTTTAATCGAGACAAGTTCAAGTTCGCTGCCACCGGTGCCACGGTCGGATCGAGCCGCATAAATATGCTCTGCCTACTGACATCTATACCAGTGGAGTTTTGTTTAATGCTAACAGAAAAAAATGTTCATTTTTGTAATCATGTACAAGTTACAAAGTACATTTGGAAAGTGTAAGAGCTGAGTTTTTTTGTCAGTTCTTAGCTCGAAACCTCTGCGGACTGACGGTAGATTTGAGTAGATTTGACATATCACAAGAATCTGTAAATATAAACAAAAAAATACCTTTAAACCTTTTGAACTGTGATCAAATCAAAATATCTTTAGTAATGTAGGTTACATTGTTTAAAAGTATTTTTTTGTTTATTCTAAACATTTCGATGTATTGAATATTTTTTCAAATTCTTATTTCGATTGATACTCGTCATACTCGTGAACGGGTGCTGCTTGTGGGGACTGGTCTGTTCAGGTTGCGATCACTGATTAGCATATGCTGGTGGTCACTCTATTCTCCCAAATTTGAATTTAAATGAAATTGTATTATTGTAAATATGTACAACATTTAAAAAAAAAATACGAGCTGAGTTTCTTGTCAGTTCTTCTCATCTCGATATCATTCCGAACTGATGGTAGATTTGACATATCATAAGAGTCTGTAATAGACCTACAGGAATAAAAATATTTTGAATTTGAATTTGAATTGTTCACACAAATGAGTTACACATAGGTATTTTTTGGTGATTATCGAGTTTTTCAGTTACATTTAATTGTAAAAACCTTGTTTAAAGAAAATAGTCAGATTTTCTTTAAACGTGTCAAACTTTGATATTTAGTTGTTTTATGTACAACGATAGAGTTTTTGGAGTAACTCTCGTAATATAGGAAGTAGGTAGATCAGGTTTATGGTTTCTAGAATTCTTCCGGCGTTAATCAAGAGTTATTATTCCTTCTCTATTGCAAGATTAGACAATATAATATCTAGCGATGCTGTGACGCTTCCTAACTTTTGTATCTGTAGTATAACGTCAATCATACTAAAAATATGAGCAGTTCACCATTATGGCACTGCACTCACTGGTCCCAACTTTCTGCTGCGTGCTGCTACACCGACTGACCGCTGCTGTACCTGTCCCGTCTATATTACGCCACTAGGAACAGCACATTGTCGATTATATACGAACCAAGAGTAAGACATTGAGGGTGATGCAGCTGGAGTCGAGCCACAACGCAAGTTTCAAAGCGTTTGTGGGCAGGGTCCCTAACATGCTGCCCACCTTCATAAAGGAGGACTAATGACCGAAGGGTGTGGTGTATCAGAGCTATCGTGGCAGATTACCGTCTTCAGTGCCGTGACCATACAGACAATATCAATATATTAGTTTTTATATATTCAGGTATATATATATGTTAGTATATAAGGTATTTATAATATGGGCCTAGGTGTTTATATAAACAATATATAGACCACTAACTGTTGCCCGCGGCTTCACTCGCGTTAATTTAGGGATGGAATTTATCAAAATCCTTTCTTACGGGATGCCTACGTCATAGTAGATTTATGCATGCAAAGTCTCAGCCCGATCGGTTTAAAATTGACAAAGTTTCATACAAACTTTCATCTCCTATTTTATCCCCTTGGCGGTAGAATTAATTAAAATCCTTTCTTAGAGGATGCCTACGTCATAACATCTACCTGCATGCCAAATTTCAGCCCAATCCGTCCAGCGGTTTGGGCTGTGCGTTGATAGATCACTATGTCAGTCACCTTTGAGTTATATATATTTAGATAGATAAATGAATAAATAAAAATAAATATCTTAGGCTTATAAATCTTCCAATGAATTGATAAATAAGTAGGTAATTGAAGAAAACACTACAAAACAATTTTGAATGGTTTTTTATTGATCTTTTTTACTCGTATCCTCAAAGTCTATACTTCGTAAATGAATCTTGATCAGTTTCACCACTTTGGATAGGAACCAAAGGACTAATAATACGATGACGCATAGGTCCAGGCAGTACTTCTCTGTGAAGGGAAGATGCTGTACGGGGGAGCGTAAATGAGGAGCTCCTCTAGTGTCCATTACTAACAGCAGCCAGTGGAGCAGATCAGTCTGGACGGGTGTTGTGCGTCGCTTGAATATAGTAGATGCCAATTTCGCGTTGCGGCTGTAGCTGGAAGAAATGTTATGATAACATTGTTATCAGTCCGGGATGCAGGAAGAATTTCGAGTGAAGAAACAGATTTAAAATATAAGGGGCAACTGTTCATTCGTGATCAGATAGATGATATGTTAGTTGATAGAGGAAACATAAATGAATCTCTGTCTGCTCAATAGTTGACTGGGAGAAATTCCTCAAGGTGTTAAGTGCTATCATAAGCATAGCTTGTTTTATTGGTACTAGAGAACTGATACAAGTACTTAAACACTTCATTGTAAACACACATAATCTTATTAATGTTACGAACCATAAAGTTTGTGACTATGGATGGATAATATTTCATTCATAATTTACGTTACTCCACGATCTTCTATCAGTCCCTTTAGCTTTTTTCTTTAACTTGCTCACTTCCCCTTCCTCTCTTTCCATCTATTTTTCCTTCTATAATGTTGTTAATTAGTTCGTCGTGTCGTATCCCCGCCTATTCTCAATAATATCTATGAAAGAAATTTTATCTTTCCACCTTATACATCAGAATAATATATACATTATAAATTGTGAGTAGCTATGACGTGGTCTGGTGTTTTGAGTAGTCATGCTCACTAAAATCTCCAGACTTGTGGCGGCGTGGTGGGCCGAGTCATTGGGCTCCCTAAAATATGGTCGAGCGCAATGGTGGCTGGCTCATCCGTCATACTCGTGAACGGGTGCTGCTTGTGTGTACTGGTCTGCTCTAATCACTATGACTTATTTTCTCTTATTAATTGTTTAACCAGTTGTTGTATATTGAATGTTTTTTCTATTTTATTATTTCATTGAATTAGTGCTAATCGGTGATTTGTATTCACACACTTAAACTTAAATTGTAAGTATATATATATAAATTATTTAAAAGAGCAACACACAAGTTTCTTGCTTGTTCTTCTTGTGATGAGACAGCATTCCGAATGAGCGGTAGATTAAAAAAAAATGTTATGACTATTCAAAAGTGCTTCAATGTAAGTTTATTTGAATAAATGATTTTCTATTCTATTCTATTCTATTCTAAATTTCATGCAAAAACCGCGAGTACAGCCAGTATACTTATAAAACACACCGAACAAAGACTCGACCCAGCAACAATCAGAATTTAGGCGGTATCCTAAACTACTAGACCACCGAGCCAACCAAATAATTAATGCCAAAATAATACCTCAGATTTGTAGTTATCTCGTGAATCGCTTCAGAAATCTTTAGAGGCAAATCATCAGTGAAGTCTACCCGAAGACCACCGCCCCTCGCCACCGTTAGGTCCACGTTGAAAAACTGGTCTCCGAACAGTGGGATCGCAATTATTGGCACTCCACAGTAAGCAGCCTCTATCAAAGACAGCAGTCCGCCGTGGGTTATCATAACCGCAGTGTTTGGATGACCTGTTGATGTGAATTTATTGTTTTGTATTATTGTCTTTAATTCCGCTACTGTCAGCATCTGTAACATCACATTAAGTAATAATAACAATAATCTCAGGACAATTCACACAGCGCCATCTAGATCCAAGTTAAGCTAGCTAAAGCTTGTGTTATGGGTACTAGATAACTGATACAAATACATAGATTTTTTTTTCGTATATACATACATATTATACATAGAAAACACCTAGAGCGATACAAACAATCTCATCACAAGAAGAACAAGCAAGAAACTTGGGTGTTGCTCTTTTAAATAATTTATTCTTACTTACAATTTAAGTTTAAGTGTGTGAATACAAACCACCAATTAGCACTAATTCAATGAAATAATAAAATAGAAAAAACATTCAATATACAACAACTGGTTAAACAATTAATAAGAGAAAATAAGTCATAGTGATTAGAGCAGACCAGTCCACACAAGCAGCACCCATTCACGAGTATAAATAAGACATTATCAGGCAATGAATAGAGTTTGGTATATCTTGGAGATCTAAAGTTTACTATTTGGCAGTTTAATCGGAGCCTGGTATACTGGCTGGTCTAGCACACCGCTTTACGTCCGATGGTCGCGGGTTCGATTCCTCGCACGGCACAAACATTTGTATTCATGAGTATGATTGTTTGTATCGGTCTGGGTATTTTCTATGTATAATATGTATGTATTTACGAAAAAAAAATTATCTATGTATTTGTATCAGTTGTCTAGAACCCATAACACAAGCTTTAGCTAGCTTAACTTGGGTCTAGATGGCGCTGTGTGAATTGTCCTGAGATTATTATTATTATTATTATTAGTTATAATATGGGCCTAGTTGCCTGAAATAAATGAATAAATAAATAAAAACTAAAGCTACGACTGAACTACCCAACAGTCAGCACTAGATCTGTAAGCTATATACTCTTTTAATTGCCCGATGATCATTTACTCCAAACCCGCGGAAGGACTTAGCGGCTGAAGGCCAACTCCTGCCTGATGGTAGTCTGAGAGCACGGTTAAGGTTTCGAACCTCGACTTAGGTCGTCGTAATTTCGATTCCCGTTTGAATTGGACGTAGGATTGATATTCAAATTCAAATTCAAAAATAACCGCCGCTTATGAACATCAAATTTTTTATATTATAATTTTTTCCATACCGTCCAGTTCAGTATATAGATCCAATTGAGAAGAATTGTCCAAGAATCTCAATTGAATATTTTTTTTAAAAGCCCTTTTATTTAAAATGTATATTTATATAGGTGTCTATATATTGTGCATGAACAACTATTGTCATGCACGATCGATTCAAGTTTAGAATCGTTTATTGAATAGATTTTGTATTTTAAATCGAAACCTGTGTCGCAATATGGGTGTAGATCCAATAACGATCAGAATTTCATAATAGAGATCTAATAGAGAAAGATCTTAACGTAAAAAATATTTGTGGTCTCACACATGCTAATGGTAACAACTTTTTTTTTATACCATGGTAGCAAACAAGCAAACGGCCCATCTGATGGTAAACGACTACCATAGCCTATGGACGTCTGAAACACCAGGGGTGTCACGTGCGTATTGCCGACACTTAAGAAACCTTAATATACCCTTCTTGAAAAACCCCATGCTGTAGTCTCTCGAGGAAACCTCGGCAGGTAGTTCATTCCACAGTCTAAGTGTGTGTAAAATAATATAAATACATTAAGCAATGAAATGAACTTCCGCATAACATCTAATTCAATAAAACATACATTAATATATATTATTATTACGTCTTGAAGGTTTAATGCATGTACAGTGGACCCGCGGTAATCCGGCCCCCCTTGTAATCCGACATTGTCTATTATTTGTTATTGAATATTACTTTGACAATATACTTCAGAGTGCATATACATACATACATATATAATATAGAATCTTATCACTGGATCTGTAATTTGTCGGATTACAAGATACTCTTTTGTAAAAAATTTCGGACTATAAGTAGGGCTCTTAGGCAGTACTCTATAATCCGACAAATACGATGGTCCGACACTGCCCTGCAAAACGTTTGTCGGATAACCGGGGGTCCACTGTATATGTATATAATATAAAGAATCATCATTGGATCTATAATTTGTCGGATTACAAGGTACTCTTTTGTAAAAAAATTCGGACTATAAGGGGTCTTAGGCAGTACTCTATAATCCGACAAATTCGATAGTCCGACACTGCCCTGTAAAATGATTGTCCACTGTAATTCGATTAGCAAACACGCCCACGGCTCATGATGAAGGTACGGACGGTAGGGAAAAAAATATTAATACAAAAAACTTAACGTTCAAAAGCGGCTAAAATGACCTACATGATTTTTTATTTGATTTAACTTCTGTAGTTGTGTTAACTGTTAAAATGTTAATAGAACATTCAAATGTTACCGTACATAATATGCTTAGCTGCGGTGCCCACTCCAGCATATGCAGGTTTCGTGGTATATCGTCCATTCTTTCCTCGAATTTCCATATTACTGTCTGGTCCAACCCTCGAAACACATCCACCAGCTGTTCTTTTACAGACTCTGGGAAGTCTGTACTTCTAACAATACTGCCCATACTGAAGAAGATGACTCCATTTCTTGCCTTGTCCAGAACTCGTTCGAAATCCTTAAATTTATGGAAATGCAAAGTAAGAATTAATAAAATGTTAACACACCCTCTCCATACACATCGGTCAATTTCTTTCTGGCTTGAACAGCATTTTTGCCCTTTCTGTAGTAAAATAGTAGGATATGTCGAAAATGCTGCTTCTCGCTCTTCATATTTAAAGTCCAAATTACACTTAGCCCGAGCAGGGAAGTGAGCAGCGCGAGAGTGTAAGCACGATACTTGTCATGCCATTGGCTCTGCCACTCGCGCTGCTCGGTGCTCCCTCGATTGTTGGTTTTTCGTGCGCGAGTCAAAGGACTGGCAGCGCGAGTGGCAGCGTGTTCATTCAGCCCTCTCGCTGAATTAATTCATTACACTAAGCAGACATGCAGCTGTTGCCGCAACAACCTCGACGTCCGCCATCTTTGCGAGTACCCGGTAAATAAGTATGAGGGCTGAGTGTAAACGACACTCACTCGCGTCGACTCCCGTCGACGCTGACGCGGCGAATTTTCGGCAGCGCGAGTGGCAGGGACTGAATGTAAAAGTGGCAAAGGGCACCAACCAAAAACTATTGCATAGATTTAATTGGAATTTGTCACACACAAGCCTTGCTATATGAGCACTCAAAGCATATAAAAATTATATGGCTTAAGTGTGAAGTTGGATGCAAAAAATATAATTAAATCAGGAAAATATGAAATTACTTTCTGAAAAACTTAATATAAATTTATATCAAACAGCACCATTTAGTCTCAAACTAGAACTTTAAATAGATAGATATCCTTATAGATATACTTAGATAGATCTTACTTTAAACAGAAATAAAATAAAACAATATTTATATTTATAGCTCGTGTCTGCGTTTTGAGTTAGCGTAACCCGCGAATTATTTTTGGTCAAACATACCAAAAATAATTAGCGGGTTCGATTCCTCGAACGATGCTATATTTGATTGTTAGCTATGTATTTACAAAAGAATGTAGCTAAGTATATCAGTTGTCTAATACCCATAATACCAGCTCTTTTTAGCTTGGAACTAAAGAAAAGAAAAGAAAAGAAAAGAAAAGAAAAGAAAAGAAAAGAAAAGAAAAGAAAAGAAAAGAAAAGAAAAGAAAAAAAAGAAAGAAAGAAATTTGTTTATTTGGTACACTGATAATAATTTTTAAAATTTAATTTACATTTTTATATTAATAATTACAGTACCAAATAGGTCTCCGCTCAGCATATGTCAGCGTGCCACGACGCTGGTTTTCAGTGGATACCTTCATATATAATAAATAGAATAAAATAATAATAATAATACACATACATACATAAATCTAGGCGGATAACACAGAGTAAACATTTACGATATACTACCATATATATAAATAAACATCAAACATAACTACACACTGAAACATAAAATAAACATAAGTTCTGGTGACACTAGTAGGCTGACACCTTGCTTTACCTCGCTTTTGGAGTGCAGACACATCACGGCACAGTTTTCTAAGTGAGGAGGAGTATTTTTATTTTTAAAAATCTGCACAGTTGGAACTAGATGGCGCTGTGTTAATTGTTAAGTTGTTATTATTATTAAAGTCGTACCTTGGGTAATGGTTTCATAGGAACATCAATGTGGTGTCCTCCCACATATTTCACGTTTTGTGGTAGAGACATCGACTGTCCCAGTGGTGGGTGTGAATTGATCAGTAGCAATGAACCGTTGTATACCAGCGACTCATATTCTGGTAGCATGCGCCCGCGCAAGTTCATCGCTGTTCCATACACTTCATCATACACCGGCTTCTCCACATAATGTGTAAAGTAACTTCAAATATAAAAGTTATATTACTATTAAAAAAAAAAATCTATAGAAATAAATAAAATTGGAGTGTCGATTTGTTATATTGAAATAACTGTTTTTTACTACATGCATATGAATATAAATGAACGAATTAAAAACAAAAAAAAAACTAAGTACAAAAGGCGGTCTTATCGCTACACCAAAAACCTAAAGAGAGTATATGTATATGAATATAAATACATTTTTTTTACAATTTTTGTCTGTCTGTCTGTTTGTTCCGGCTAATCTCTGAAATGGCTAGCTCGATTTTGACGGGACTTTTATTGGCTGATGTAATAAAGAGTAACTTAGGCTACTTTTATTTTAGAAAAATGAAGTTAAATTCCACGAGGTTGAAGTCGCGGGTACAGCCAGTCATTGTTCCTTTATTTTGCGGACTTGTAAACTATATTCAAAGTTGTACATGTTTATCTTTCGATCATCTTCAAAAAAGAAGGAAGGTCTCAAATTCTTTTTTATTTTATCTGTGTTATCACTTTACTACCGATGTTCGCAGATTCGATTCCTCACGTGATACAAACATTTGTAATCCTGAGTATGATTGTTGTTTGACTGTATCTATATATATTATGCATATATGTACAAAAAAATATATCTAAGTATTTTTATTAAAAAAAAATATTTTACCAGTAGTCTAGTACCCATAACACAAGCTCAGCTTAGCTTGGAACTAGATGGCATTGTGTGAATTGTCGAGGAATATTGTTATGCATTGCATTACATAACATTATGTTACATTGCATAGCACAGTCTTATATTGTATCGCACAGTCTTGTATTGTATTGCATTGTATTGTAATCTAATTAAATTCTGAATTAATTAAAACAAAATATACCTACTAAATACAAGCTGCTAAGTATAGTTGCAGCCACCATTGGTGCGCTCTCTCCCGCGGAGTAAAAGGTACTACAGGTATGTTGAAGGACCTCAAGTCAGCGGTGTAAGCCGGGCTGCTGGGCTCGTGGACCATCTGCAGCACTTGCCAGAAGATATCACCCGAGTAATACCACGCTAGAGGGCAGTCAAACACCGCTGCTAATCTGAAAGAGACAGTATCACGACCTCAATAGAGTAGAAAATCGTTTATTCATATAAACTTAATTTAAGCACTTTTGAATAGTTTTTTCATTCGGTAAATGATGTTGATACCCCGTACAATTCAAATGGGGATGGAAATTGCACGGTGGTCGGCGGTGCACTCAGACTAAAGTCGTATCCGTCATCGGGAGTTGGCCTTCAGCCACTCCATAAGTCCTTCCACGGGTTTGGAGTGCTACTGCACTCGCCCTCTATCGACCGGTGAAGCTGTAAAGGCCAGCTGCGGCCAACAGCATTAGAGAAGTAAAAAGAAGCTGTAAGTTTATATTAGCCCTATAAATAATAATAATAATTATATAGTACGGATGGGAAAGAATAAATATAACACATCAGTTTACTTACGGAGCTAACAGACCACTGTAGAACCACTCAGCCAAAACGAGATCGAAATGCTCATAAGGATCTTGCAGCAGTTGTTGCAGGGCTGGATGCTGCAATGCTTGCTGCGCATACGAGGATCCAATATTTAACGCATAGTGCAGAGGTAGGGGAATCTCCTTCAGTTTTACTGGACTCAGATGCGATTTATATAAATCTGTGTAAAACAGTGATATCTGATTGAACAGAGATTAAGTGCGTAGTTTCTATGTTGATTGTCGCATGCCTAATCCTTGTTAATGTAAATATAAATAAACAAAATATTTATTTAAAATAGCAACACACAAGTTTCTTGCTTATTCTTCTTGTGATGAATCTGCATTCCGAATAAGCGGTAGAATAAAAAAACTTGACTATTCAAAAGTGCTTATATTAAGTTTATTTGAATAAAGATTATTTCTATTTCTATCAAATGAGTATATACATATATTCAACTAGCTTTTGCCCGCGGCTTCGCTCGCATTAATTTATCCCCTTAGAGGTGGAATTTATCAAAATCCTTTCTTAGCAGATGCATGCAAGGTACGTCAATATTGAGAAAATTTCATACAAACTTTCATCCTGGGGGTAAAATTAATCAAAATCCTTTCTTAGCCAAATTTGCATGCCAATTTCCGATCCGTCCAGTGGTTTGGGCTGTGCGTTGATAGATCACTATGTAAGTCACCTTTGTGTGAACCTTTGTCAATTTTAGATCGGGCTGAGACATTGCATGCATAAATCTACTATGACGTAGGCATCCCCTAAGAAAGGATTTTGATAAATTCCACCCCTAAGGGGATAAATTAACGCGAGCGAAGCCGCAGGCAAAAGCTAGTACCTCATACGGCTGAAATAACTGCATTTTCTCTACACTGTACATATATAGTAGCCAAATCAGATTTCGATGAGTCTTTTTAAACGAAAATAAACTAGTGATGCTCTAGTACTAATTTTATCACGATTGACGTCTGTTTTATATTTAAATATAATATTGATGACATATATATATATATATATATATATATATATAAATTACTGACCGTCCTCGCGGGCGGAACTGATGTCAACGAATTGAAGCCGAGAATCTGTCACGTTCAATGCATACGTCGACACGTATGTTACCTGATGACAATCACATATTATTAAACAGCATTAATGTGTTGATGGAATAGACAAAATAGAATAATATAACCTCGATGGTCTGGCGCAGTGATTCCCAAAGTTCATCCAGTCAAAATAGAACAAAAAAAATAATTGGTGGTTTGTATTCACACACTTAAACTTAAAAATGTAAAGTAATAATAAAATTATTGAAAAGAGCAACACGCAAGTTTCTTGCGCGTTCTTCTTGTGATGAGACAGCTTTCCGAACGAGCGGTAGATTAAAAAATGTAATGACTATTCAAAAGTGCTTCAATGTAAGTTTATTTGAATAAATGATTTTCTATTCTATTCTATTCTAATAACTTAGCCAAAATATCGCATAGAGCTGAAACTTGGTATAGACGTTAAATAAATCATTACAAATGAAATGTCAAAAATTCCTTCGATCCTACTTCTGCAAATTTCTTTATCTAAGGTCAAAGGTCAAAAATTCAGCTAACTTAAATGTCTATTTTGACTGGGCTAAGTGGGGTATATACCCCAGGGGTCTATAACAAACTGCAAAGGGTCTACGATGTTATTAGTACACATCCAGTCAGCAATAATGATAAGTAATTGCTATACATAACAATATTATTAACCTAAAAGTGAAACCTTGAAAAATATAATATAATATCTATAAGTCAGTGATTTTATATTGTGAGTGTATATCGACCCCCAGGGGTCTGTGACAAACAAGGGGTCTACGACAGCGCTCATCTTGTTGTTTTTACTTTATGTTTTTAACACTAAACTATACTACAGTTAGAAATTTACAATAAATCAGTAACAGATAAGAATGGGGGGTCTACCCAAAACCGAAAAATATGGTAAGGGGTCTATGACCCAAAAAAGTTTGAGAACCTCTGGTCTAGTGGTTTCGTACACTGTCTTAATTTCAATAATCGGGATACAACAAACGTTTGTATAATACTCACTGTTGCCTATTACTCACTAAACGATTACTTGAATGACGAGCGTGCATGGCAATAGTTGTTCATGCACTGGATTTTCATTTAATGTTAGACATAGACACCTATATAAATATACATTGTAAATAAACTGGCTTTGTAAGTAATTCAATTGAGTTTCTTGCCAGTTCTTCTCAATTGGATCTATATAAGAAAGAAAGAAAAACATTCATTGCTATAAATATACATTTACACATTTGACATGTGTACATTTTACATATATATATATATATGCACAGACACACACATACACATATACTGAAGTTATGTGTATGTGTGTGTGTGCGTAATATAGGGAAAAAGTTATAATATAGAAATATTACGTACCTAAGCCGCTAAAATGTCCTACATGAATAAATTATATGAGATAAATAGAAAAAATCATAAAAATCGGTTAACACGTTTCGGAGAAGTACGGCAACTAAGATTGTAACACGAGAATTTTGTATACGAATATATAGTTAGACTAGCTGTACACGCGACATCGTCCGCGTAGAATTTAACTTTATTTTTCTAAAATAAAATAGCCTAAGTTACTCCTTATTACATCAGCTGCCTGCCAATAAAAGTCCCGTCAACATCAGTCCAGCCATTTCAGAGATTAGCCGGAACAAACAGACAGACAGACAGACAGATATACAAAAATTGTAAAAAAATATATTTTGGTGTATGCAATTTATATTCATATGCATGTACTAAAAAACGATTATTTCAATAGTACAAACAGACACTTTATTTTTATTTATATGTATAGAATATAGAAACTGCATACCTCATGACCAGCTTCCAACAGCGTGTGAACGATAGAGTCTCCGAGACTAGTGTGACTCCTGGCATTGACCGGGAATATTACTAATATTTTAGCTCCCAAACACACAGAAATATTTATTAATAGTACAAAATATAGTGTATATATTCCACAAAACATTTTGTTTCTTATTTTCTTCTCAGATCATCGAGCGAAGTAAAAACTGACTTGTAGATTGTGATAAGATATATCTACGTCTGGATACAGTGAATGACGTTATCATAAAATACCTATATATCATATAGCATATAGATTTTTTGATAACGTTTCGAAATTAGATAGATAAACATCACGTGTTAGCAAGGCACGCTTACTATAAATATCTTACGTTAAAATTAACTGTAACTGAATTTCAAATTTGTAGTGACATTATAAAAAAGTGTGTTTGTCTGTCTGTTTGTTATATTTAGATGACTAGACGACCTCGGTGGTCTAGCGGTCTAGCACACCGCTTTACGTCCGATAGTCGCGGGTTCGATTCCTCGCACGGCACAAACATTTGTATTCATGAGTATGATTGTTTGTATCGGTCTGGGTGTTTTCTATGTATAATATGTATGTATTTACAAAAAAAAATATCTATGTGTTTGTATTGTCTAGTACCCATAACACAAGCTTCAGCTAGCTTAACTTGGGACTAGATGGCGCTGTGTGAATTGTCCTGATATTATTATTACTTAATGTGATGTTACAAAAGCTGATAAAGGATCAGTTATCTAATTTAGCTAATTAACTTACTAGATGGCGCTGTGTGAATTGTAGATAGATTATTATTATACGACAAACGGATCTTAATGAAATTTTAAAAAATTAAATTTAAGATTCTGTTTGTAATTTCAAATTAATAGCTTTTCAATGTAATATACGCTACTTATTATTGTCTATCCGTTTGTTCTTGCTAATCACTGAAACGGCGGGGCTAATTTTAACGAAACTTTCGCTAACACATTGCCAATTTTATTAGGAGTAACTTAGGCTACTGTACATTAGAAATTTTATTTAGTTTAATAGAAATAAAACTATATTCATTACATCCATATATAATGGCCTATGCGTCTATTATAGACGATTTATGACGTAATGGTCCGTGAACAGCTTTTTTCGTGGCTGTATAAACCGATACGAGAACGGCATGGCCTACCACAGGCCCGGCAAGGGAAACTATTGGCAGTAGTCTCTTGTCAGCAAGCCTTTGAAGCCAGGCATCATCTCCAACCCTTCGACCCTCCACTACGCGTTTGCGCCAATCTGATTTATTGGTTGCGAGCTTTTCCCAGCTACGGTGGTAGTATACTATTATAGTGGTGGTAATATTATATACTACATCTAAAGGTTTCCTTTGAATCACCCGATATTGGTAAGAGTGTTCTTCTGGTTAATAATTTATTATCTAGACACGCGGGAGCGTGTCAAAGACGAGTTCAAGTAAGAAAACTGGCGAGCAGCACCGTGTGTAGTTTTACACATATATTTTATCCTAAGGTCTGACTTGGCTAGTTTTCATATACGAAATATACTGTAGCCTTCGCAAGTTCTAAACCTGTTACTTGTCAGTTCCTATTTTATTATTAGAAGTAACGAGCCATCGAAAGTAATAATTGGTTAATGAGAACTGGCCAAATCAGACCTTAGGCTACAGTATATTATCCTAAGTTATAAGAAGAAATGATTTTTATATTGTTATAAATACATTTCAGGACAGACCATTGAACTCGGCACCCATTTAGATCTCATCTCTTTTGTCGTAGAAGTCAACAATCAAGGCATATATCATAATATTGAACTCGGCTATCATTTCACATTTATATTTTTGATGGGATTATTATTACACAAAATGGCTTCACTTTTATTAAATCTTAACATTCTTTAGATTCATCACAAAGGGCATAGACAGTCTCAAAAGAGTTTGTGATTACACCAATAAAAGCTTACGCAACAATAACAAACTGATTTTACCTAAATGTCGTCTAACTAAAGTTAGTAATTCGTTTGATGGCAATTGCGTAAGGTTTTACAACAAAATACCAGAGTCTGTTATAAATCTGCCTGAAAAAAGATTTAAATGTCATATAAAATACTTCCTTGGAAAAAAGCTTACTATAAAATTGAAGAATTCTTTAACGATAATAATGTTTTTTATAGAAAAACTTAAAATCCATAGCACTGACAATATTATCTGCTTGCATTAATAACGAGTGTGTAGCGATTTCTATGTTGATTATCGCATGCCTCTTACTTGTTATACTGTAATTATTACATAAAAAAAAACATCTATTCAAAAGAGCAACACACAAGTTTCTTGCTCATTCTACTTGTAATGAATCTGCATTCCGAATGAGTGGTAGAATCAAAATATGACTATTTAAAAGTGCTTGTAATGAGTTTATTTGAATAATGATTATTTCTATTTCTATTTCATCGCTTCTTAATAATTAACTGTTTTACCGACCTCTTGGTTGCCACATTGTTCATTTTGTCGTATTTAATTTTACTATAGTCAATATTGACATAGTCCTGAGTACACAAGTGTCGGGTGCAGATAGCAGGTAAAGTATGCTGGCCCGCTCTAATCATTACATAGTATAAAACAAAGTCGCTGTTGCTGTCTGTCCGTCCCTATGTATGCTTAAATCTTAAAAAAAGTAATGCAATTGAGTTTCTTGCCAGTTCTTCTCAATTGGATCTGGTTGCGCCATATAACATTACATTTTTGTTTATTATTATATAATAATTATTAGTAATAGTTTGTTGAAATAAATAATTTAACGTGGTACGAAACGTTGATTTTCTAAGGATTGGCACTACACTAATTCCTTCATCCCCTCCTATTCCCGCACATACCTTTGTTTTAAGTGCGAGCGATAAGATTCGTTTGTATCGGAAGTGACATATCGCGCTTTGACATTGAATTCCCGCCTTGATCGCGCTTAAGATCAAGTTTTTTGTAATCGTGATAATTACTAAACATTTTAATCCACCGCATCTCTCTAGTGTGTTTAAGACCATTGTGTTTGTGCCATTGTTGTGAAGCAAGTCGCTGGGACCTGGAGACACCGATAGCCGCCGCACTGCAACCTACAATTCAAAGGTACTGTGCCTCCTTCCTTACCAGAACTGTCTTTCTTTGTGTTCCATCCTCACAAGCAGTTCTCAATCACCAACCTAACAGTGTATCGTGTCAATCCACGTACCCGTCAGATTATTTAGATACAGTCCACTTAAATCAATCAATTTTCTATTTCTATTCTATTTATTTCAATCAAACTATTTATTTCACCCGCGCCGCCAGGATCTATATACCGAACTGGACGGTAGGGAAAAAAAATAATGTAAAAACTTGACGTTCATAAGCGGCTAAAATAATTAATAAATGATTTTTGAATTACAAATCTTAACTTTTATTTACATACATATTACACATTTTTTAATTTGAATTTGAATTTGAAAAAACTTCACAGCAGATTTTGAAGTGTTTTTTATTTCATAAACAGTGTGATTCAAGAGGAAGGTTTATATGTATAATACATGCATAATATTGTAGAGAAACACTGATAAATTTATAGCTTTCTAATGTGATATCGTACATAACACATTTTTTTGTGCTTACATTGCATACGCTGTCTGAACCCCACAGATAAATCAAAATAATGTACTACAGTATTGTAAACCTTAAAAAGATTAACAAAAAAGTCCGTGATGTTATATGTCTATCTCTTTAGTATCAGGATTGCACCCGTGCGAAGTCGGGGCGAATCGCTAGTTACTATGAACGAAACGAAAAATAGGTTAATAGCAGTGCGTACGGGGTTTACTGTCTAGTCTGGGCGACCGTCTAATAAATAATTTTGACATCTAAATAATATGTAAACAACAGCACCTGAAGGTAATTTGTTTAGTGGATATAATCAGATAAGATTCCTTAAAAAGAGCGACTAGTAATGAAAAACTAGAGGTAAGAAAGTCATCAAGTAGTGTTAGTTGTATACGACCTCCTCACAGATTAAGTATAGAATAGAATAGAATAGAAAATCATTTATTCAAATAAACTTAATTTAACCACTTTTGAATGGTCAACATTTTTTTAAATCTACCGCTTATTCGGAAAGCTGTCTCATCACAAGAACAAGTTTTATTACGAGTAATAGTTGTCAAATATAGATTGACATTGTTGTAAAATATATTATAAAAAGGGACAATACAATTATTCTGCTGCAAACGTAGGAACATATTATTTAACACATCTCAACACAAAAGAACCACACCACAACAAGTAGACTGATCTACAACGTAAATAAACATCGTCAGTATTATTACAAAGAATCTGTTGAAACTCTGACGAAACGTGGTCGAAATGGTTGAGGTTACCATTCCTAAAGTTAATACTTGGATTAAACCTAACATTATTATGAACAGATTTAACTTAACCACTTAGTACTACAGTTAAATCGTTCATTATATATTCCCCACAGATAATATACAGAAATCAGTCGCTCATGTCTGTCAGCGTATAATTACGTTCCGTTTTACCAGAAAACTGAAATGATCAAAACTAATATTACTTCAAAGAAAAATGTATAAAGTAAAAAAAATTTGACACGCGGGAGCGTATCAAACCCGAGTTCAAGTAAGAGAACTGGCGAGCAACACAGTGTGTAGTTTTACACGAACCATTTGGAGTCTCTTTTGACCCCCTTATAACTCAAAAACTCTTTCACACAAACCTGTCAAATTTGGTTCATATATTGAGACTTGCGAGATAAATATGTGTTCCAAATTTCATAAACATATCTCAAACGGTTATTTAGATATTAACGTCCAAATATCGTCATTTTTATCACTGACTCAACTATAAATCAAAATTATAACCCACTTCCAGATGACCTAGGAAGTTCAAATTTGGCATGCAGATAGGTAATTACGTGAATATAAAGGAAAAACTGAAACTGGTAAATTGTTATTCAAGTCAGACCTTAGGCTACAATATATTATCCTAAGTTATAAGAAATGATTTTTGTATTGTTATATATATATACATTTATACATTTCAGGCCAGACCATTGAACTTGGCACCC